GGATTGGGAGAATATGATAGATGATGAAGATGGACATTGGCAAGGAATTGCGTGATGTTTTGAAGGTGAGTGTTCTGAATGTTGAGCACCGCTGGTTTGCTGACTAATCAAAATGATGTATCATTGTAAGATTCTCAAGCATGCAACACTGTTTTTTCTCTCGTTCAACGCCAAACCTCGCTATGGTTATACCGGCGATGGACCATATCGACACCACCTTCACCAACTGCATCATCAACAAGGCCCTCTTCAGCCAGCCATCCGCACTGCCCTCGCACTTGCAAAAAAAAACCCTCAACCGCTATTATTCACTTACAGACTCGTCAAACGTTTACCGTATTGCCATGGGTATGTTTTTTTTTCATTCATTTGAGTTAACTAACTAATTATGTGCTACAGTTCTCCACCCTCACCACAAACTCCAGTACTTCAAGCAGGCAGGATGGCAGGCGGAGTGGATTGCTACGGCCGAGGCTCTAGTTCGCAGCCAGTACACAACATCTTATCGTCGTCGATCTCACGGAATCACTTCTGACGGAGCCCTGGATGACGTCGCTGACTCTGCCAGTGCTCACCAGGTACGTGAGCACACTCGAATACTGTTTACTGACTGACTGGTCCCCAGGGAGACTTTGAGAATATTTTTGACAGCTTGCCCGCACTCGCTAAGCCCCAGCGGCACATCGTGCAGAACGAACTCGATGCCTACCTTGCAACCGATATTGAAGATGTCGATGATGCTCTGCTCTGGTGGCACGAGCGCCGTCATACATTCCCCCGTCTCTCTCGTATGGCCCTGGATTATCTTACAATCCCTGGTAAGTTTTTTTTTTGTACGTGCTAATAACTACTGATATATTCACACACATTGTAGCTACGTCTGTCGATGTTGAACGCATTTTTAGCCGCGGCCGTCTCGTTCTCTCCCATGTGCGTAATCGTCTATCGGCTCAATCAACACGCGCGCTACTCTGTGTGGGATCCTGGTCGTTGTTGGGCCTTGTCAAGGACGACGACGTCAAGGCTGTTGCAACCATGGCTGATGTCGAGGGTGATGACCAAGTAATGGAGGATGGATGGGATGACATCAAGGTATAATGATAGACTAGTAGTTTACATTTTGTCAGTACTATACTCGATTTTCTGCTCAAATTTGATTTTACCCTTGACGTACCCGCGAGCATTCGTGTACCCGTGCATACCCGCGGTACCCCCCGATACCCGTACCCCTTGTCATGGGTAGGGGTTTTGGCGGGTAGGGGTAGGGGTTAGCCCCTGGATACCCGGGGGTTACCCGTGCAGATCACTACTTGGAACAACACTGGATGTGTGAGCTTATTCAAATTTAAGTGCGGCTGTGTGGTCTGAACCCACTTGCTATTTGTAGCACGATTTGGAGCTCGAACCAAGCATCCCATCAGGCCAAGCACGATGGAAACAGTTACACCTGCAAACTACATACCTTTACCTTGTGCGCCTTTAGCCGTGTTTAATAGCAACACGAGAGACGTGTGTAGCTTGGCTAAAGGAGGAACAATACCCACTGCCTCTTCCATTTCAGAACCTTTGATTGAGAAAACGTTCCGTTCAAGTTCGGACGGCTCTACCTTTTCAGTCTTTGGTCAATCGGCCTCGCACGCAGGAAGACCAATATCCGTCAGTTTGAAGGTCAGTACTGTGATAGTCCACTCGGCTGCTCTCACTGCCTTTCTACAGTGTATTGGCTCCCCATTTTCCCTGTCAAGTACATGGGTCACTTCCGATGTCCAAGAAAAATTTTTCCAGGCGTTCCAAGCAGAACTGACCATGCAGGCGGAGTTGATGGTGACATCCCTTGCCACTAGGCGTAACAACGCTCATCTGCGTAACCTTGGTCTGGATTTGCTCATCTTGCGGGCAAAGCTATGCCGCGCCCAAGCTGAGATGGAGCTCTACATGATGGCCTTTGAAAATTCTCATGTGTGCAGCTTCTGTGACAATAGTAAGCATAGGCTGATTGTGCTCCCTTCAATCGTTGACGTCCTTGTAGGTTTCTCAACGTCCCCAGATCCGATTGTTCCACGATGTCTACCTGAGGAAGTAGACCTTATCCAGGATCACGAGGACGATGAAGACGAGGATGACGACAGTGATGGCTCGGGCAGCGAAGACTATGATGATATCGACGTTTGGGTGCCATGAGTTAGACCAGGCTGAGATCAACATCTTTAGTGCATGACAATATTTTTGGCCATCCCGCTGGACCCTAACCTTCTTGATTTATTGCCTTTGTATCGAACATTACTAGCTACTGTATCGATCATGTAGAACAGTGTTATTTTGGTGTAATCACAATAGACTTTGCGTTCACTCCAGTTTCTAAGAGTGGCAAAGCTTGAAAATCAAATTCGTATCGCTGCCGCGGATCACATTTCCGCACATGCATCTTACTAGCTAGCTAGTAATACCTATTAAGCATACCCAATTCCCTAGGCAATATGACACCCCTTAGTATTTTCTTCCTCGATGTTATTACTCCACAGCGAGTTCGCACATCTCAATCATTTCTTGATTAATTCGTGTCGTGTTTCTGTATTCCAGCTGCTATATGTTTGATATATATTCTCGACCACATGTATCTCGACGCCCATACGCGATCATGGCCTTCTTGAAACCTTAGAGCTCGCAATGCTAAACCTGCATCATCCAACGGTAGACCGTGAGAAAATAGGTTCATCATCAATTCCATCACATTGATACATACATTTACAGTATACTCTCAGCCATCAACCTCAAGTTCGTATTCGCCTGGGTGATACAGTCAGTTTATCCCCAAGGCCACCCGCGTCCGACATACTTTGAGTTGGAGAAGGGGCGTCCCATGCAATCTGATGAGGAGAACAAGTACTGATTCCACTCGGTACGTATTTCTCCATCATCCTTGCCCGGTAATTTTCCTCTAACCAGCGAAGTCTGTAAATTTGGTACAGATTTCGCAGCGTTTCGCAGCCCATCTCTGCCATCTGCAGGCGCTCTTTCAGCCTGACAATGGAGTCCACCTCGCCATCTTCGTGTTTTTGTGTTGGCAGAAGTAGAAGGGAAGCCTTATCGTTCCTTGCTGATTTGTTATCTTCAACATCCTCGCTAACCTATAATAAACTTCAAGAACGATTGATAATATTGACTGATTTTACCTGGTGAGTTCCTGGTCACCTTCATCAGCGTGGCCCACTAACTCGATCCTAAGCAAAGGCATCAGCGTGTCCCGCCTCCGGGTAGGTGCGATAGGTTTACCGCAGGTTTAAGTTGATACTACGTCCTTGTAGCTCGAAGGCCTGACATGAGGGACACGGCATATTGGACCTAGGCAGATGTAAAATGGCGAGCTGCCACAAGACGATGCAAGGTCAGTGGAGCTATATGCCTACGGTGGGTACTTATGTCACACTTTAATCTAGCCATCGAATTGTAGCTCGCCTTCGGCTCAAGGTCGACGGATATTCACCTTGGCCACCGTTTGACCCACGGCTCTGGCCACCGGTTACGTACCATGCCTACTGCCCTGCCCACCAGTTAAGTTCAGTGCCCACTCTGGCTACCAAGTTTCCCTGAGATATCATATAGCGTAATGCTAGGGATAAAAGCGACTTACAGTATCTGCGACGCCGGTGCTACCCTTTCTTCCCAACTTCCATGACCACCCACGACACCACTTCCAGTATTCCGGCCAAACGCGGCTCGTCCGCCCTCCAAATGGGGCCTCGCAAAAGAGCGTAAGTTGTCTATATTGACCACAATTTTTGTACGCTCATCCTGTCCACCAGCTCCCTATCCGATCCGCTCGTATCCCACGGGCGCCACTTTGGTCGAACGGTGTTCGCGCTCTGCAACTATCCTTCCTTGCTCACCAATGGTATATTAAGACTGGAGCAAATGGAAGATACCCCGTTGGAAGACTTCTCTGCCGAGTAAGAGACATACGCAATTTGTATTCGCTTGTTGGCTGACGTACTTGATAGAGAGCGGCGAGAACATCGCGTTTTTGAGCAACTCTTGGACTCCTACCCCGGCCTTCTGGACCGATTGAAGGATGGATCCGATGAGGAAATCCTTCACGTTGGGGAGCTGGTACATCATTACCTATGTGGCCAGATTTTGCGCTCATAATTTGCAGATTGGTAAGGGAGCCGCAGGTGCCAGAGGCGACGACACAAAAACGTTGAAGTCTGCGGTGTTAGATTGGATTTCCCCGAAAGGAGAAGCGATACAGCCTCCTTTACACAGAAACTCCAAAATTGACCGCGGATTCAACCACAAGCTCACTGGATCTCTCCTCTGTCCTGCTGGGCTGGATTGGAGTGATCCTCAGTATGCTCCGGTTTGCTGCCCTTGAATATTGCACTTATTCTTATTTAACAGGATTAAAGAGGATCTTCGCAGTGGTGAAATGTCGGTCTGTGGGGATCAATGGCCCATATTTTTGTATGCCCACTATGTTTATGATCATGAGGACCCATGGTCCGGTCTTCTTAGGAGCCGCTTGCTAGTATGTGTGAGTGCGCACTTGTGAGATCACCTCGCTCGTTTACTTCATCGTGTTCCAACAGGCCTACAAGCACGTTTTCACCTCTCCAAGCTCAGTCGACAGAGAGCCCAAAGCCACGCGATCCGGCAATGCTCGCCTCCACGGCATGAATTGTGTCACCATGGCCTCCATAGCCTATATCGCAACTCAAGTTCGTTGATGATGATACTTTTGTGGTGTAGTGTTGACGTACGAGTGAAGGTGCGATTCGCCTTAAGCTCATCTTCAGTGTTCTCGCGAACCGACACGACCACGGACTCTGAGACTTTCTACCATAGCCTCCTTGACCTCTTAGAAGACCCTGAGGAATCTAAGGAAGTTGACGAGCTGCTTACTTGGTGGAATCGGTATGTTCAACATCCTTCACCACGTCGCCAAGGCTGATACATTATCGCTTCTTCAGCCAAGTTTTTCCTACATCCTCTGCTGCCAAGAGACCTATCAGCGCCAACAGCGCCTTATCCAAGATACGACAAAAACGAATGGCCCTCAGACAAGCTACAAACCTCCATAATATCTCTTCGTAGATTAATATACTCGTCTGTCTGTAGTAAATAGTATTGCAATCTAATGATGGTCTGCTTTTGCTTTGTGTCAATAAGGACCATTCTTCCACGAAATGCCGACGGAAGAAATCACCTGACCAATATAAACGCACCGGCACAATGCAACATGTTGTAAGATTTTATCTAGAAACGCCCTTTAGAGTGTGTTTGCGGAGAAAAATAGACTCGATTGCATTGCATATGATGACCACAGCTCAGCGGCTATCCGACGGATAGCACTACGCTGCCATGTCTCCGCACCATGGGAATAAAAGAGGTCCCCATCCAAAAATGTCTGGCTTTGGAAGATTGCAGCATTTAGAGAGAGAATGGGGAACATGCAACAAGGAACTATTTTCGTGTACGTTTGTCGTATCTCAATCAGGGATCACAACCACATACCTAAGGTCGACGCCAAGGGGGTTCTTGTTGAGAATACAATGACAAGCTCTGCCTGCATAAGGCAACCACGTCGGCAGAGCTCGATACTGCGTTGGATACACCCGGCACCATTGGACTATCGTCCGTTATAGTCCAACACAATCCAACCATATAATAGTTTAACTCACACTGTCATTAATTTATATGTTGGGGTGTATAAAATTCAAATCTCATCGTGCATACACTTATCGGACCTCGTCGAGGTTGGGGAAGATGGTAATCCACTGCCATTCGTCGCCCAGATTGTGCACTTGGTAGGTCGGAGCAATGCAAGCAGGAATTGCAACCGCATACCTAAGGTCGACACCGAGGGGGTTCTTGTCGAGAGTACAATGACAAGCTCTGCTTGCATAAGGCAACCTCGTCGGCAGAGCTCGATACTGCGTTGAATACACTTGGCACCGTTGGACCATTGGCAGTTATGGTCCAACACAGTCCAACCATATAAAAGATTATCTGACACTGTCATTAGTTCAGAGATTGCGGAGGAAGTAAAAGCAGTCAAAGGCTACATGCCACCACCAAGGTAGGGCAGAATTATAGTATATTGCAGCTGGTTCTCGAGTAGGCGACGGCGGTTGGTCTCAACAACTTAATATTGTATTGCCACGTCTGATGGGTGTTGCAATATGTGCAATTTCGGTGACAAGCTGGCAAGTGATTGTGACTAAGCTGTCACGGTTGTGCATTTGACGGTTTCTATCCAACTAAGTCCAAGTATTCAAAGCTTGCTCATGAGGGGTACAAATGTGATGATTATTGTGCATATTTTAGATCAGATAAAGCCTTCTAATGATTTATCATTTTCGGGTCGTTTACCTGATGATGGTGTGTAACTCACAGCGGATTGACAATCATAATTTTGACGGGTTTTGGTGCGGAGAGAGGCTCGGGTAGTATGTTCGGGATGTCGTCGAGAGGTTCCTGATCCGTTACGGCGATTGGATCTTGGGTTTGCAGAGTAGACAGTGGAGCACCAGTCGGAGAGAACGGCTGAACTGGGAGCAGAGGTGGGGATGAAGTAGAAGATGGTGGTGGAGTCAGCGGCAGTACAATACTCTCCCGCACATCATGATCAACTAAAACAAGGTAACATCAGTATCAGTCAATCTATAAAGTAAGACGAACCTTTGATTTTCTTTTCAAGGACTTCGAAGGCTTCAGATTTCATGCGCTGCTTTCTTTTCTTGCCTTTTGAAGTGTTGTCGCCATCATCACCGGTGTCGCCAGCAGATAGCGGATTGCCATGGTCGTCCATGTGATGCCTGCGCCAAGACGAATAAGACATTGTAGCGAGATAGTCGAGCTTCCACCCATTATTGGCAAACTTGAACAAAGGGAAGGCATTTTCCATCAAGGTATTCACCAACTGGCCACCTGACGCAGTCAGCTTTCCCCAAGTCAAAGGTGCGAGCTTGCGACTGAGAAGTTCGGACCATGCTGCACGTAGGGCCTTTCGAATGGCGTCAATCGTAGTTTCTGAGATCGGATCACCGTTCTCGTCCTCCAGGAATGCAAGCTTACCGCGGCCAACAGCATTGTCCGCTTCAGCCGATTCTAACCACTCGAAGTAGTCGGCCTTGTTCCAGAACCGGATATTGGGGTGGGTGTCTGGTTTTGGACGTTGCGTAGTGCTTGCTGGTGTTGAGATGGACGCAGGGTCAAATTGGAGTGGGTCATTGAGCGGTAAACGAACAGCGCTGGCAAGATATTGATATGCAGCCCTATCAAGCGTAAGTTAGTTAAAATAGTACGAATAATGAATGTACATACGAGATGGTGTCGCGTTCTGCCGTAACCTTTGCAATTTGCAGCTCCAAGGCCCTATACTTTTCACGCAAGGCCTGGAACTGCTGAATTTCGTGCATATATGCACCCTAAAATGTTTTTATCAGCACAAAAATCACGGCAAGCCAACATACCTGTTGAAAATGAGGTTGCGGCGCTCTAGAACTATCTGTAAAGAGATCTCCGTCAGGCGGTAATGGCATAGAACCGGGAGATAGGGGGGAAGGTGTAAGTTCCTGGCCCCAACGCGGCATATTGAAATTTTGCGGAGGACATTGTGAGTTATGCGTAGGATGAAATAAAGACCCCCCAGTAAAATCCATGGTGCTTCCACTAGCAGAAGAGTACATGATATAAGTAAGAGCCAGAGCAATACGCACATACTACAAGCCAGATGTCGTGAGATCTAAACTCCGCTGGAAACAGCTTCCGATAAACGAGTGCGAGCGAGGCAATTTTATTGTGCAAATTTAGGGCAATACATGCGATAACCAGCAAGATGCGATACGAGAACAGGACACAACTTGAAAGGGTACAATAACATGGGGAATGTGAGCAAGATGCGATGCGAGAACAGGACACGACTTGAAAGGGTACAATAACATGGAGTGATTGATAAGTGCAAAAGTGCGACAGTGCAAGAGACGGTGCAAGAGACGGTGCAAGAGACGGTGCAAGAGACGGTGCAAGAGACGGTGCAAGAGACGGTGCAAGATGGTATCGTGATTGTGCGACAACGAACGAAAGAGACAATGGGATGCAAGGGTTACATGGTATGCTTCGTCTGAGGCAATGGACCAACAGCGGCAGAGAAGGTTCTGAAGGTGTGAAGTTCAGTTATGCGCTCATCGGGAGAAATGGGTCTCAATTTGCGAGGCCGGCGAGGTGGCCAATCTGTATCGTGGAATGGACGTCTGGAGGAGACAGGGACTTTGCGCACGGGAGGTTCTTTGAGAACTCGAAGACCCAAGAGCTGAATGGGCTTTGCGTTGACACGACCGCTGAATATAAATATGTTACGAGCCGTCGAGTAGCCGAGAGAATGATCAGAACACTTACCTGGAGTAAGTCGCCAAGTCTACCATTGTAATATCTGGATCTCCCAAGTCCCTCTGGCCTTGAGTTTCTGATCGAGGACATGTACTACGAGAAGGTGCGTGAACATAGGCTCGAAGGAGGAATAAAAAACACTCACCTCTCCCGCCCTTTTGGCTTTCCGGGCAACAAACCCTCGGCTTCGCTGTCTGGACAGTCTTCTAGTTTAACAAGTTTCACGGTATCGAGAAGGCGAATGACGAGTTTCTGCAGAGGCAATGTTAGCATACAAGTATTAGTAGAACTAGGAGTAGTTGAAATTATTTACCAGCGGTCCCGGTTTTTTCGGTGTGAAATTGATCTCGTAGGTAGGCCAACCGTCGAGCAGATTTTCAACTTCCAAGATAATAACATTGTCGTGTAATGTTACATTGGCCAGTTGGTCGATAAGATCAAGCGCAGTTTGAGCAGGTGAACTTTCGGCAGGCACTAGTTGATGAGATGAGGACATAATGCTAGCCGAATCAGTTGTTGCGACAGGTGGGCTGGACTTAACGAAATTTTGCCAGTTGAGTCTGCGGCAAATTCCGGCGGAGTTAACTGGACAAGTGAGTACGAAGAAAGCATTGTGATTTCCAGACTACAAGGTGAGTATTTCAGCGTTTGTGATTCAATTGAATAGATTGCGCCCTGAAACACACGATGGTCGGATTTTCTTTTCAGATCACATGTACATGGTACATTCTTGCCGTTCTAATGGACGAGCAGCGCTCGGAAGACGGTTCTCACAGGGCGAATGGTTTACATCGCGTACCTCTTCTGCTGCACTGTATCCTCCAGTTTACAACAAAGTATCATGGGATCTTGCCGCGTTGGGTGCAGATGATACACCTATGGTCGCGCAGCAACATGTCTTGTCGGATGGGCTACCAATCTACCGCAGACTCCAATCCGATGATCAGGATTCTGTGCGCTTACTCACCGTAGAAGATCTTATTGTTATCGCGAAGCAACTTACGGACCGTAGTAGATTCTATTGTTATCGTGTTCTGAAGCACGCAATTCATTCAATTGAATGGTCTCTGTCACTCGTCCTTTTTAAGTTTCTATTCAATCGCAAACGCATAAAGCTTCTGGTCGTATACTCTCCTGCTCTCTGCAATCCCTCCATTGTTAACCTCCCTTGACGAGCGTCCTCGCATTCAATTTTCGAGAAGTCGAAATTGATGTGATGACGCCCGGCAAGGGAGTGTTTTCGTCGTTATGTTTCTTCACACTCAATCTTAGAGAAGCTGCGATAGATTGTGAAGACGCACCACGACGCAGCAGCACTTTATTTTTTGTATACAGTGTATTCTAGGGAACAGTTAACCGTTATAATACATTATTCTACATCTGCACCGTCATCGTCGTCATCAAGAATGTTGTTCGTGATCCCAACATTCGAAAGATCTAAACCGGGCTTCTCAAGCATGAAGAAACGTTCTCCCTCCTCCATAAGTCCTGCAGGTAGCCTTGGATTGTGCGGAATCATCGCAACCACACTCAGAACCTGCTTCGCATCAATTACGCAGATTTCTTCGAGTTTGGAGCAAGAAATAACGGTGTGCGAGGAGAGCCGAAGGAGATCTGCGTCTGGAAGGGAAAATAACTGGACCACCGCGACATCCTGCCAGCGCCAGTCATGCTCGTCGTCGAAGTCTGCTTGAACCGACAGCCTGGTAAAGTATAAAACTTCACCAAACCGCACCTGTTCACGGTACTGTAGCTATGTCGTGTTAGTAATGTGCAAATATTATGTTCTGTGATACTCACTTTCACATTTCGTGACATGCGCGTTTGGTCGAGTGGTTTGAACATCTCTCTCCATAAGGATCGTGCGATTTGGCCATTAGGCAGGAGAAGTCGTGCCCAACGTTTGATACGAGGAAGCGGGCGTCCATCTCCTAGGTAATCGAGTATGGCTTGTGCAGCACCTCCGACTGGGCTGAAGGTATACTTGTCTCGTTTTCGCAATAATGCGAACCCGTCTCCTAGATCTACTGCACCCGTCGGAAGAAGTTTTGCTGGCTCGTCAAGCTCTGGCATGATGGATAAAAGGGTGTTGACCTGACAGCGTCGAACACCCTCTTGGGATAGGTTAGCATAAGGGCGAGCTGGTTGACGTATCTCTTGCCCGAGGTTGCCAATGGTCCGTTCCATGGTCCATTGCGCGTAACAGATAGGAGGACCTTTCTGCACGGTTTCAGCAACGAGATGGTTGGTTTGGTGGATGCAGGGGCGGATAAAGTGAATGCGATCTTGCCGGCGTCTGTAATACAAGTGCTCGAATTCATACTCCCAGGTACACAAGAGTTCTTGGGCTTCTCGGATATGCTGCACGGTAATACTATGCTGGCACATTAACTGAAAGCCCCGAACGAGCTTGCAGTAATTCATCCAGTATGGCTCTGGGAGGACATTATAAAGCAGCGCGGGCCCGAGACCGAAGGTATGGAGTTGGAATTCCCATGTCTTATACCCCGTGTTGATTTTTTCGGCGATGTTCCGTGGTTTGCGGTCAAACGAGCTAGGTAGAAATGGACCTGTTGCTGCAACCGACTCTCCATGCGCACTCCAAGTATCCGCATCCTGGAGTACGGCCCAATCCCATGTGGCCACGTCATCCGTGACGCCACAATCTATTGTCCCGCGCCAGAGAGCAACAAGTAAGTCGCTGAGATTACCTGCGAGATGCATGATATCAGTAGTCATACAGTGGGGAATACCGAGGCAGCGTGAAGGCTTGAGGCCCAGAATAAGAGGCGGTCTTGTGATTCCAGTCTCGGTCTTGCGAATGTCCAATTGTCGTTGACTCGGGGAAGTTATGAGGCGCCGTAAGTTGTCAGCGTATTCTTCAGAACCACCGGGGGGAAGCCGAAAAACACTGATATCAGGGTGGTTACTACCGGGTGCACACGCACCCATTGGCTTCAGCAAAGCAGGATAGTAGTGCGTTCCTCCTGGTTTGCGTCTGCCGAGGACACCGCAATAAACTCGACAACCGTTTTTCCCGCTATGGCCCACCATGCCGTCCCAGTAGACTAGCCCAGGCCCATCCGCGGTCGTGAAGATGAGGTAAAGGTCGGATGTGAATGTTACATCACGAGATGAGTCCCATATGACGAGGCCCTCATTCTGGAGAGCCGCAAGATGATGTAGGCCTACGACGAGGAAAGAATCTAAATTTTTCGGCTTATTAGGCCCAGGAATGAAACCGCCAGGGCGGACGTGAGCTTTACGGTATCGTTTGTCGGGGGAAAGGTTGACGACGACCCATATGTACATCCAGCAGTCGGATTGTTTGCTTTCGTACAGTTGGGCACCATCTAGGGACACCATCAGAACGATATCGTTCTCCTTGATATCTCCATCAAGCACCGCGCCAATAGCATCATGTCCCATTGCAATATCATCGAAAACCGGAATCTCTCCAGTTTGCGTGAGGCCTGCGAGAACTTCCCGTACTCGATTGTAGAAGTAGCGCATATTTTGTGCGCTGTCAGGGTGTCGATAAAGGGCCTGTAATTGTGGCCCTAGCGGTAAGGTTGTAAACGTTTGAGCAGCGACTTTTGTACGTCCGTTAGTTGCACGCAGTCTTGCTTGATCCCACCGGGATGTATCGCACATTGGACAGGATTCGAGAGCTGCAAAAGGACCCGTAAACGCTAAGCACGACTTGGGGCACATGTCGTGCTTGATTGATTCAACACCGGTATATTGCGCAATAATCTTCTCGACACTGTAGAAACTTAGGATCTCATCGACACCAGCAGCTCCTGCAAAATTGAGCTTGGTAGATCTCTGGATCCGATTATAGGCCTCCTGCGATGCATGTTCTAATGCGAGGTACGAGGATATGCTGTGCCGGATACTCGGACTATCTATGACGACAGGCTCTCGAGGTGGATTGCGAAGTCTCTCAAGAGCTGCGTCATCCAATTTCGCTATCGGATCTTCCAGGGATGCATTTCTAAGTGCGAGTATGTATTCCATCGTCTCCTTCATCTTTGGAAGCACTGCCATCTGGGCAAGCGCCTCCACATCAATATTTGGTCGTGGTTGGCGTTGCAGGACAAACTGATACTCCTGTTGGTGTCCATCACCCTCGGGAGCATTGTTGGGGACGGGAGGCTCGTGCTGATTGGCGACATCGCCAGGAGGTATGGGTGGGTTATGGTCGGGGATGGGAACTTCGTTCTGATCGGCGATATCGCCAGGAGGTATGGGTGGGTTATTGTTGGGGATGGGACCCTCGTGCTGATCGGCGACATCGCCAGGAGGTATGGGTGGATTATTGTTGGGGATGGGACCCTCGTGCTGATCAGCGACATCGCCAGGAGGTATGGGTGGATTATTGTTGGGGATGGGACCCTCGTGCTGGTCAGCGACATCGCCAGGAGGTATGGGTGGATTATGGTCGGGGATGGGACCCTCGTTCTGATCGGCGAAATCGCCAGGATGCTCATCCGGATCAGCAAGAGGCATGGGTACATCATCTGTCTGATAATTATTAGTGCATAGTTCGACATGTTCGCTAGACATACGTACCAGATTGTCACCATCATCACGCATTGTGATATCCGACTGGTCCATCGAGGTACTTTGAGCACATTTTCGGCGTCCAACACGTCTCGTGTCTTGGTTCTCGCGCGCTCGTTTAGCAAGGGTTTGTATTGCGGCTGCGCGACGAGAACTGGGAGGCAGAGAGGAGCCAGAAGCTACACTTTGATCGTCTTGCGGCTGTTCTGGAAGTGAGTGATCCTGCATAGTGTTGTCTATGATAAGATCCTAGTGAGTATACGAGGCAAAATTGAAACTAACAAATACCATATGTATGTAGTGCTTCAGCAGCACGTATTCTCGCCTTCTCCTCCTCCGTACTAGCCTGCTGGAGGTGTTCATACCATGTCGACTTTGATATCGAGTGGGGTCTTCCCAACCCATACTTCTCGCATACGCACACGAATTTGTTCGAAATTGGTAGCATCTGTAATAGATTAGCCTAGGATTTAACAAATAACAGAAGTACTAAGCATACCTAGTGCAATATGCGACGCTGTGTGATACAAGACGTTGCACGTTGCGATCGTTACTGCGAGTGACGTGATACGAGACGTTGCACGTTGCGATCGATACCGCGAGTGACGTGATGCGCAGTGCGCTATGCGTCGTTGGTGCAGTTACAATGTGTTAAAATTGACGAGTATCGATTTCAACCGAAAGAAGCATAACTCGACATAGTACTAAAATGGTAATTCTCATCTCAACATATTCGGCCCTATCCGGGCACAGCCAATTCTCACTGGGGTTGAACCTCGATCCGACGAGAAGGCTTGTTGAGCAACGTCGGCGTATGAAAGAAGGTCTGCGAAATGACCAAGTCGTGACCATTCAGCGGGTGACAATTGCAAAAAGTCGATTTTCGCTCGTTTGGTTAGATTGGGTTCTTGGCGGCCCATTTCGTACACAAACGTGTCAACATACTAAGTAAGAGTGAGAACAATAGGGTACAACAAGATCAAATGCGCACCTTCTTGTTGTGTTCGGCATGATTAAGCATAACATAGGTTGAAGACCATCGAACCTTCATGTCAATCAGCAGTTGTGTCGGCAAAGACACACCTGCTTTCGTCTGGATAGTCCTGTACAACTCTTTCCGTTTGGCCGAGGAACGTTCTTTGATGCAGATGCTGCGAACGAGGCCGATCTCGTCACGCTCAACCTTCTGAGACATATCCGGATCGTGGCCATGCGGATCGTGTGGATTGTAGTGGGGCGCTTGGCTATACATACTTATTAGCTTTTGTGTGCCAAGGTTGATGATGTGCGCTAGACAGCTGTTGAAATTGTTAGTACGCAGCAAAAAAATCATGAAGACTTCTTACTTTATCTTGCGTTCACGCCATGGAAATTTCTTGTTGTACTTCGCCTCGTACAATCGCGAGAACTCTTCCAGCATCGTGTTGTTGTTGGCGGCGTTGTCACATGTAACATGGCCAATCTAGCAGGTGGAAATATAAGCAAGGTAGCAATCATGAGGAGATAATACTATGCAAACCTTGTGTGCAACACCAATCCGATCGAGCACCTTGAATAATGTGCCACCTAGAGGCTGGCCATTGTGTGCGTTATTGAGCCTCGTAAAGCCAAGTAACGCGTTCCCGGGTTCCCACTGCATCGGATTGTTCTCCTCGATCCAGTGGCCGGTGACGGCAAAATACCCATCTGTGTTGTCAGCCTGCCACGCGTCACATGTAACATTGATCGCGCCACTGACAGATTGACTCTAGAATATTGTCAGGAATGAATAGAAACTGCAAAGGATGGTATGTACATTCAATTTCTTCTTGAGCGTGGTCATGTGGTTCTTGAACATGCGGATGATCTCAGCGCGGGTTGCTTTTCGACCAGGAATTTTGACGCCTCGAGTAGCACGCGAGGCCACATCTACCATGTCCTTGAATTTTGGATGCTCGAGAGCCTGTATGGGCTGATTTTCATTAGTATGCAGCCAGATGATACAAACAACTCAGAGACTTACCTGATCCGTGGCAATGAGCCACTCAATTGCAGCTTTTCTAAAAAGCTGGTCGCTGTATGGAATAACACGCTCTGATAACTTGCGCTCAGTCATATGCGCATCGATCGCTTGCTGCGCCTGCGCTGCTTTCTTTTTCTCAGCTGCGACGTCACCCGGCAATTTAGATACGAAGGCGTTGGCCTTTGCCCATTTCCGATATTTGCCCTATGTGCCAGTGGATTCATGTTAAATTTATATGTTCGCCTGAACAAAAATATGAAAACTTACAGCAAATCTAGCTTCAGAGTGACGGCGCAGTGTCGACGTTTCGTTTACGATGATACAGTGGTCCCTAGTAGTTGATATGTAGCATTAATAAAATTAAATACATGGAAATGGAACACACGTACGGACAGACCTTGCACTTGCGGTGTTTTTTCACCGTGCCATTGGTACCAGTGTGCTCGAATGGTTTACCAAAGAACTCGTCAATGTCGCGAGTCTTATCTTCGCGTGTGGGACCAGATTCGTCGGTGATGGGCTGCACGTTGATGTCCACAAGAACACCATCCTCGTCAACCTCTTCTTGATCTTGAGCAGGTTTCTGGCGACGGGCTCGTTTGGCTAATAGTGTCAGGTGAGAAACGGAAATGTGAATGACAGATGAAAACTCACGTTTTGGATTCGCCCGCGCATTTTCACGCTCCTTATCGCTGGATTCTTCATCTTCCTCGATCTCCTCAAGACGAGCTCTTTTGTTTGCAGGTGCAGGGGCAGGAAGCGTGGCTTCAGGAGTGGGCAGGCTGGGTGCTGGTATTTGTTGTGGGACAGTGGGCTGGGTGTCATTGGCAACACGTTTGGCGGCCTGTGCAGCACGGAAGGCATTGATAGCCAGGGTTTGAGAGGGGAGTGCAGCCTGTTCAGAGTGCTCCAGGAGCGCAGCAGTCGGTTTGACTTTGCGCACTGGACGCACTATACGCGGCTCGTCGTCACTGTCTGTATGGACCATTCCAACCATTAGATTATTTGGAGCGAAGACTACTAGTACTTACCTTTTATCTCGATCAAAATTGTCACTTCGTTGGAATCCGATCCATCCGAGAATGAGCAGGATGATTCGGCCTAGTCGATTATGGGCGAGTGCGACCCAAAACGAGACAAACGAGTGACATGCCTGACATCGGCTGAGAGTTCTTGATTTAAGCATCTATTAGAGTCGTAGAAGAGTGGCAACGCAAATGGATTCGTACCTGACAGATCGATCATGATTGATCATACAAAGAGCCGCGGCTCGAGCCGCAGGCTTGGGCTTTCCAAAACCCAAAGCCGAGCCCTGGGCCATGTTCAGGCCGTGAGTTTGGCCTGGCTTGGCTTGGCCTAATCAGGCCTGGCTTGGGCCGGCCCACGGCTTGAAGCCGGGCCATGCACATCACTACCCTTGTCCACCTGAACAAATGACCAATCCCCTTCAGTGGTGGAAGGTGAGTACACTTCTCGTATAATTCCTACTGAAAATTTCTCACTGTAGTCTTCACAGCAACACGAGACGACATTTCCTATCCTGTCGCGCATTGCTCGTGACGTCCTCGCTATACCTGCTGTCAGCGTTGCCGTCGAACGTCTGTTTTCCAGTAGCAAACACACACTTTCCGATTCACGCTCCTCAATGACTGCGGAGACCGCTTCTGCCGCTGTCATCACAAAGGAATTGTTGAAGCTCGGCCTCGGTGATGGAATTCAGTACCTCGATGGTGTTTCTATCCATTAAATATGAATAGATACGAATACATATGAATATGGTATGAATAAAATAGCGCTATCATTATGTAAATACCTCGGGGCGGATTGAGAATATAATACGGTTAGAATAAAATATACCCTCGAGATTATTTTATTCATATTTGGACAGCACTGAAATACAGTGACCACCCAAAGGCTTCGGCACGACCGGCATTTGCCAAATTTCAAACTCCTTGGTTGGCCTGCCAAATCACTCCGAGTTCGACCACACCAAAAAATTTCACCATGTCAGACTGGTTATCGTCGGTTCTAATACCCAAGCAGCTTGGTGATAACTGTACACAGAGGTGCTGAAGAGAAGCGATCGATCGTGTCCTATAGGCTACGTGCTCAATGAAACACCAAGATTAGCCCCACTTGTATCTACAATCTATTCGTATCTTCGGCTTCCCACTCGGTGAAGACTGGCCCTCTGCAATCCAATCGTCTCACAGATAGCCTCTTAGTCCGCTACCATCTTACCCAAGCCTGATCGAGACATATCGCAGCTATGCCTTGGGACCTCGTCACACTGAATTCCGGTAAGTTCAAATGAGGAGTGGGTAGTTACTACTCACTTGACACTATCGGCGGCCAGGCTATGCTATGCCGAGCATTGCTTATGGTACATGGACCCTCGGGAACGGCCAGGGTCCCATCGACCAGATTGCGCAAGCTTTCGACACGGGATATTACCACATCGGCAAGAATCTCTGAGCATCGCAATTGTATGATGTTCTGAGGATTGAGGATCTTCTAGACACTGCTCAGGGGTACGGAAATGAGGGTGAGGTGGGTATTGCTCTTCATGAAAGCGGTCTATCCCGCGGAGATGTATTCATTACGACGAAATACTCTGGCTACGATGGTCTCGACATCCCTACTGCGATCAGAAACAGTGTCAAGAACGTGAGTGGCTCGCCACGATAGGTCAGCCTAGATGCTGATGGGACCAGATCGGCACACCTTACGTAGACTTATATCTGATTCATAATCCACGCCTCGCGGTACCGGACATCCCAACAGCATGGGCACAAATGGAGAAAGTGGTGGAGGATGGTTTGGCAAAGTATGTCACAATCAAACCTTATGTGCTGTTTTGGCTCACCGCTGATCAACATAGGAGCATTGGAGTAAGTAATTTCGGTGTACAAGATTTGGAAATTCTGTTGGCGTCTGCGAAAATCAAACCTGCGGCGAATCAGGTAAGAGAACAACATCATCAAATTTACTCCCTCTAATCTTCGAGAAAGATCCTTCTACATCCCTATGTTTACCAGCAACAGGCGCCCATAGTGAAGTATGCGGCTGAACATGCCATTGTCATCGAGGCATACAGCGCCCTCCAGTGGGAAATTTTGTATCCGATCACATACATACGGTTGACGTGAGGATGCAGACCCATTACCAAAGAACCTAGTGGTCCATTAGACGCTCCGCTGAACGAGATTGCCACTCGACTTGGGGCGACTACAGACCAGGTACTTCTTGCTTGGACAAAGGCTAAAGGCGCGGTTGTCGTCACGTAGGTTCCGTTTCGTTTGCCAATGGTGTCGATCACCAACTTCGAATGTCCTTTTAGAACCAGTACCAGGAAGACACGTTTAGAAGGCTATCAAGATGCGGGCGATATTGGTAAGTTGAATTTCGAGCAGTAACTTGGTACGTACGGCGATTTTACATGTTTACTGCAGAGCTTTCAAAGGAGGATGTTGCTGCGATTGATGCTGCTGGCGCATTGGGCGAAAAGCGAATCACCGCTAGAATAGGGTTGCGAAAGTTTGGTGTTGGGGTTCTAGTTGGGGTTGTGGTGTTGGGCCTCTGCAGTTATTTTGGAGTGAGGATCAAATAATTAGTTGCTGGATCTATTATGTTCCATCGCTCGCTAGGGCATTTGCATCTGAATTAGTTTTTATCTAGGTTTATATAGAGAGAGACAATGAGTTGGACACTGACTCGGAAAGACTAGTAACTGGTTGTCACAGGGCTTGACCTGAACATAAATTTCATTAAAAGACGCTCACCAGAGTTGACATGATCAGACTGTGACACTCTGCGATGCGCTGCAGTCTGATTCGATCACTGGCAGTGTAAGAGCTTTTATTTGTCGGAATTCGGAGTGGTTCAGAATATGGGTGCTACAGCAAATTGCCGCAGCAACGCATCTTTGCCAGCAACCATCATGTCTCTTATCTCCAGCCAGCCAAACACAAGTACTATGGACATGTATGGTCCTCTCACAACTAGTACTGGCGAGAAGAGAAGTCTTTCATGTCAACACGATGATCACAATATGAATTACCCATGTGAATGCCCTTCAGCATCTCACCGTGCATGCCACAAAGCGCGGCTGCAGCGCATCATCCTGCCTATAGCGCTTTCACTTCTCTCCTTAGGCGCCTTCCTGGTCATTTCCCACTGCTCGGAAATCGGAAATCTGCTGGGAGCCCTTGGACTTGGTCACGGTCATGGCATCTCATTGGACAAGCGCCAAACGACTACGAGTAGTAGCTCAAGCTTCACGAGTAATAAATGTGATGCAACACTATCTTCTTTCATTGTTTTTTTTCTGACAATTCACTTCAGTGTACTTAATTATCATTTTCGTCGGCCTTTTCCTAGTCCTTCTAGCGGCTATAATGCTCAGTTTCTGGTGCTGCAAAGGTTTGATCGAACACTCTTGAAAGCGCTTATTGCCTCATGTTTCTTACATAGGCTCCTTCGAGAATCCACTGTGCTGCCCATGCTACTTGTGTGCGTGTTGTGGTGGCCTCGGTAAGCAGAAATAACACCACTTCTATTGCAACTTCCCTGATTCGTGTGACCAGCATGTCTGGAGTGCATTGGCTGTGGTCTCTGTGCGGCAGGTCTCGACGAGGCGCTATAGTTGAATAGCGCCCTCATCTGCGGCCCTGCCTCCAGCAATGTGATCCTTGGGCTTCGTTGCGGCCTGATGATGGACAAGTTATTGTATTGCGTATACCTGCATACCTCTCGTATCTCGTCGTTGGCGAGCTTCTATTCAAGGAACATTGTATGTCATGCTCTGGCGGCGGAGGCCGTTAATGAAGATTACCCACGATTCTTGCGCTCTGCTACTTTGTTCATGGCTTAATTCCTTTCGGGTGTATCAGTTCATGGTAGAACCGCCCATATGCTAGTGCTGTATATATATGCATGCAACGCTATGGTGCACTATTCTCAACATTCTGCCCATACCCAAACAGACAGCAATGGCATCTCCCTCCGACTCAGCCCGCAAATGGTGTGGTCTACCAAAACATCGTCTTCCGCTTGTCTGCTTTAAGCTGTTGTGTATGATCGCTATATCGAAGCCGTCGGTCGACCACTGGGAAGACCTGCGCATACTATCGAAGCCGCCGGTCGACCAATGTGAAGACCTGCGCGAACCCAGTGCGACCAATTCGACAGCTGAGAAATTCGAGAAGCACAAGAAAATGCTGATAAATCGGTTTGAAAACATGAACATCACAGTAAGTATAATACTTCCTCAAGGCCTCAGTTATTGAAACTTATTTTCAGGCGGGTCTGGTAATATATATATATGGAATGCTACTCAACGAATGTGACTAATTTCGTTACACAGGTCTTAACGTCAAGCGCTGTTTTCATATCTACTAATCCTCGTAAGTCGTTTTTATCTTGCGAGAAGCCTAAAAAAACCTAACCTGCCGGTTATTCTTAGCAATTCCGCCTCTTATGCCCTACACAAGTGTAAGTATTTCTCCTGTTTTAACGTGCACGTATATGGAAACTAACAAGTTCTTCAGCATGGTACACTTCCTCCTCTGGAGACTTTACCGTGCTAACGTGTGCTCAGGGTCGTATACCCTTCTGGTTTCATCTTTTGTAGCAGCGTTGCTCAGTTTGATGTCTGGGACTTCTGTCCTCATCATCTATGACACTTGCTATGCAAACTATGACTTATTGCAGGTGCGTCATTTGCCTGCCTTCATGCGCCCTTCAGGCTTGAGTAATACCAACTATCAGTCATTCACGACATCTCGCTGGCGCCTCATATCCTGCCTTATACTGATGGCGTTTCCTACACTGGCTCTGGTAGTCTCGACAATGACTTTAATAGCAGGTTCGTGTGCACGTTCCGATTTCAAATCGCCAATCTCAACGCTTTGTCAGCTGTATTTATTGCAGGCTTGACATCCGACAAACTCTTCATGAAAATCCTGACTGGGGGAATATGTGGCTTATTGGGTTTCCTCAGTGTGCTCGCAATATTCGTATTCAACGCTCCTATAGCAAAGTATGTTCTCTTACACATGACCTACCAACCAGAACTTAATTTGGATACTATTAATTAGGGTTATAAGTCCTGTTAACAAAGATGGTGTTGCCCCAGCTGTGATGGAGTCTGGAGGAGTTGGAGGACGGACTGAGAACGGCGTGAAACATTGAGAGCGCAACGAGACAACGCGCTGACATCGGCTGACGAAGTTCGAGGTTTATTGCAGTTCATTTCTATGCTAGCAAAATTTTCCTTACCTATGCTAACCGTACCATAAAGAACAAGTCTTTTCATCGAGGCATCTCAGAGTTTTCTTACCCTCTGAGATGTGAGTAGATTATTTTCCCGCACAAGTACAGAGCTAACCTACCAGTAGCATCAGGAAAACATTAGAGTGCTTTTTTGCCTTGTGCTACTTAGTCGGAGAGCTTATGAGGTGGATTACGTAAAGTGACCGCGATAACAAAGAGAAGAAGAGAAGAAGTGACGATGTTGTTACTCTCCAACCTAGTACTGGCCAAGCTCTGAGCCAAAGATTGTCTGTGATAGCGGGGTTTTTCAAAGGCACGTGTTCTGTTAGTCTGGGTTCTGTTTCCATCCAAACACTAATTTGAATGTTGATGACGGCAGCGAATTGGAGCACCCAGGCAGCCGCTCGAAGTCTCAGCCAAAGGAGCCCGTGTAGGTGGGGATTGCGCCATCACCTGGTAGTATGGAAGGAAACCAATGTTGTCGATGTCTGACTGTTACGTTGCTTATATTTGTGAGTCTTCTTTTGATCCAGTGCTTTGGGTATCCAGCTACAGTGCTGTAACTGATATCTTCAAGTTTATATTGACTTGATGATCTCGTGGTCATAGCTTGGGGTACGTTAGGGCACGTTCCCTTGGCTATATGACCATATGCACATACTTGTCATTCCATTCACCGGCCTGCTAGTGGGCCGAGGCTCTTAGAATAACGAGGTACTGCCTGGTATCGCTGCGAGGCGGTCTTGTCTAACCATCGTGGCACCGTCCCTAGCGGCCAGGCGTTCTACTCCACCGGCCATGTTATAGTTGGACCCGCGTACCTGTTATCCATACGATCGAGGATCTCCATCCCGTATCTTAGAGCACCGTAATACAACTTAGATGGCAACACCGGAGGTCTTTTTCCGTCGTAATTTTTTTTGTGTATAACAGCGAAAACCAATCCTGTTATTGCAATGCATTTTTGAGGACGGGACGTGCTCGCCTAGTCGATTCAATCGTACGATTCCACTTTTAACGGCGCTACATTTTCTAACATGGCTCGTGCTGACCCCGAAACACTCCTTGCGGCAGCGCCGCTTTCTGGGATGCCTAGAATGCAAGAACATGGGCGGATCCCATCGCGCGATAGGTCGTTCATTTCTCACATGAAATTGGTATTACTTATGTCAAGAAATTTACGGTGGCGCTCTATCACTCCACTCTCCATGACCACTAAAACTCAAAGGTGTCCGATGAGCACTGGGAGAAACGTAAAATGATGGTAGCCGCTCGGCGCTCAGGAGTCAATGGCTTTAACATCGCCGTATTCATGCCTAGCAACGCACTTCACGCATTATGATTCGGTCTGCTCCTACACTCTTTCACTTACTACTTTAGCGCACTCACTGAGAGACCAACCGTTGGGTGTCGTGGGGGTTAATGTCTATGATTCTTGCAATCGGGGATGTGCGAAAGATGTGAGGACTCCTATCAGAGTGACGCAGCACGCAACATTAATTCTAATAGCTATGCGGTGTTGGAAATAGCGTTGTCCATAATTTTCCCGACGCCGGGGGTATTTCATTGTTCGAGTCTTCTTGAAAAGTTCTCATATGCGTTATCCAGCACTGGCTGCAGTAAATGCATCCGGCCTTTCGTGGCTCCAAATCTTGGCCTGGAGATCATTACCTGGGTCTGGATGCCATCTTGCTCGTTAGGTGTGCAGTCTCATATGAAACTTGGGAGCATTGGATCAAGATGCCCTCGAAGCCACTTCGTTACCTGTTGGACGGGATAATGCAGATCCTGCGAAGGCAACACGTTTCATTACCGCTTGGATATTATTCTCGCGACCGGTTTGTACTCAATCAACTGAAGCATGACATGATGTCACAGATGTAACCGCACCATGACAGAACAGCCGGGAGCGCCTGTGGGAGAGCACCTGCCATCTGTTTCAAGGTTCAGCATGACATTTACATACTATTGATGTACGAAGAATGTTTCCCGGAGAGGCGTTGTCAATTACTGAGTCAACTAGATCAGAAGTTGCTGAATATCTAACAGATGATATGCAGGGATGCTGAATCAATTAGCTGATGTGTTAGAAACCAACGAGTCGCATCACGGAGGAGAGACCTTGTGTACCTTGAGCCATTATTATATAAGATAGGCATTATTTATTTCCGATGTTCCGGTAGACAATTGACGAGGGCACACGAGTTGTGACATGTTGTGATGGTAGAATACAGTCAAATGGACGTCGCAAAATATGTTTAACGCTAAGCCAGCGAAACAACTCGAAACGACATCTAAAGGGCCTAGATTCCACACCGGGCTGAGACTTGTTCTCACAGAATTAATGGAGGTATATGTTTGTTTGGTGTCGACGGAGACGACCGCGAGTGACCGAGACAGTGGGAGACAGTGGGAGACTGAGGAACGGAGGTGCGGCAAGAGCTGAGTGGCAGTGAGTGCGGCGTAGATGAGTAAACTGGAAATATGATAATGGTACTATCGCTCACCAAGGAATGTGGAGCCGGCAGCGTCTAAGTCTGAGGTCGGACTGCCATGATTTACTGTGAAAAATAAGGGTTGAGCACACGAGCACCTGAACCAACCTTTGTAAATTGTTAGAGTAAGAAAAGAAATCACGAGTACATACCATCAGTGACGGCGGCCGTTGGCAGGTCCAATAGGGTCCAATTCTCGAACTCCGATACCTGATGGTGCGCATTAATTCAGTACTGTACGTATATACCGTACGCGCGGAGACTCTGTAAATGTTTTCCTTTCAGAATTTGTCTTAAACTGGCAACCGTAGTGACTGCTAGTGACTCTGAGTCTCAGGTAGCATCCCAAGTACCGTTTTAATCTTGGCAGCAATATTCTAAATGTCAGTTGCATTCAGATTGATAACTTCACTTTGTTTGCTGCCCTTGTACTTTGGCATCCAGTTGGTGGACCGCGGGGTTGTTAGTCTCGACATACCATTTGGTGGAATAGAGAGGATGCGATGAAGCGTAATAGCGTTAGCTTGGTAGCCTGATCATGATCCATCATGCACCGATGCCAGGCCGGCATCAGCGCGCCTTCCGCTGTGTACTTGGAAATTTAGAGCCGGATCGACAAGTACTAGACTACGATTAGACTCGTCGCTATGTTTGCCGTGGCGGAGTTCGAAGTTGGTTCAATCCAGTTCACACAAGTTTACACGCTGGTTTGCATTGCTTTAAGAAGCGGCTACTATAGACCGGACTGCGTTAGTTGACTCCATCGACAGGTGAGCCACCAATTCCAATCAGACTAAGTGTACTGCAAAAATTGATCAGGTTAATTATTGGCTAATTATGTAGTATTTCCGACGGTCGCATGACTTCCACAAATGCTGTATACCCCTCGACAATTGGCCGCGAAGGGCGATCTCCACCCTCTCTGCCCTTATTTAGATTCCCAACGATGTGACTGACTCAAGGAGGCTGAGGACTAGCCAAAGTCAGGGGCACTGCGATGATCTTGACTTAACGACCGTCATAGCAATCTTGGATTCGTCCTGATGGAGGAGGTACCAGCGCATAGGCTCACGCGTGTATCCTTCAAAAGCAGATGAGAGACAGGATGTTCTGATTCCTGAAACACCCGCAATTCAACATATCCGCTCTCGATTTTCAATCTCTTGCCTTGTGCACATAATGGTCTTCTTACCTTCAACCACCTCTGCCCCTTCAGCAGTCGATGCCGGTCTCAAGCGTAGCCGTGTCGACTATTCTCGCCATCTATCATCGGAAGCCCGTTCCAGGCTCCCTAATCCAATTAAGTCTATCTGGAAAGTTGCTCAGGTCAAAGCTGGCACCATCAATATGGGAAACGGTTTGTGGGTGTTTTTGAATGCGAGCACGTTGGCTAATTCAATGCAGGTGATCCGCACCATACGCTGTATCCCATATCCGAGATGAACTTTGTCGTTCCTTCCATTGATGAGCATGACCCCGTGCAATCATGGAGGTCTGGCACTGGCGAGCAAAATATTATTGCATCATATAAGGACGACCCCTGCACTTTGAGCCTCCGTACCGCCTTTGCGTACGGTGCTGGTGCAGGTCTCAAGCAGGTCCGTGATGCCCTTGCAGACCTCAACGACCGGATCCATTCTCCCCCCAATCATACCGTATCGCTCAGCCTTGGCAATGCGGACGCACTGACAAAATGCTTCCGTCTTCTCGGTGATCCGGGCGACTCTTTCCTTTGCGAAGAATTTACCTTTTCTGCTATGACCAACGCTGCTCTGCCTCTGGGTATTGAATGGGTCCCGATCCGGATGGATAAAGATGGATTCATTCCTTCAGATTTGGAACGAATTTTGTCCAACTGGGACGAAGCAGCGCAGGGTAAACGACCCCATGTGCTTTACACAATCCCGTATGTTACCGCCGGCTCCCAATCAGTCACTTGCAGCTCACAATTCTTATCCAGGTGCTCGCAGAACCCAACAGGAAGCACACTTTCATTGGAAAGAAGGCAACAGATTTATCAAATCGCACACGATTGGGACATTATAATCCTCGAGGATGATCCGTACTTTTTCCTCCAGTACGATCTTGATGTGAACCAGAGCACGATACAACAGTACGGATACACGCGTGCCATGGCGGAAGTTCTCCCACGGTCATTCCTATCCATGGATTACGACGGACGCGTAATGCGCCTAGATAGGTAAGATCATTTCCCTTTAACATGTCTTTCGGCTCTTATATGTGTATAGTTTCAGCAAAATCGTTGCCCCTGGAATGCGACTGGGCTGGGTCACGAGCAACAGCTTCTTCGCAGATAAGCTTGACATGCTGACGGACTCGTCTTCGCAGCATCCACATGGCATGGGTCAAGCTTTCATTGCCGAGTTGCTTGGCAGTGATGGCTGGGGCGTCGATGGCTTCATGAAGTGGATTTCATCGCTATGCAACGAGTACCAACGTCGGAGGGATCTCTTCATGGATGTTTTCCGGCAGAAGGTTGCCGTTTCCCGCTTCGCTACTGCGGAGGTACCACAATCTGGGATGTTTGTCTGGATCAAAATCAACCTTGAGCACCACGCACGATTCTCAACCTCTCAGACCCCGACGGTGCCAGGCGGTCCGACGACAAACACCGCGGATCTGATGGACGAGCTATTCAGGAAGCTGCTAGATTGCGGCTTGGTCATGATGCCAGCATCGACATTTGCCATCGTTGATCGCACGGGAACCATGGGAAGCCATATCAATGATGTAAGTTCTCGTATTATGCGCGTCGAATGCACACTCAAGAAAAATTTAGCGAGTGAACTTCTTCAGAGCCACGTTTGTCGGTACAGATGAAACTATTCGTGATGGCCTTACTATCTTTGGCCGCACGCTAGAGGAATTCTTCTGCTTCTAAATTTCATACTATAGCTTTCCGTCGACGCTAAGCTGCTTGTTTCGCTCTAGGTTGCATGGATACTTGCGTGTGAGATGCAGACTCTGGTATTCTATGCATTGTTCACATTTATTATAATCTACCCTGTTATGCTTTGATATGTTGTGTGTATTGGATTAATTGGAAACGTGTACTTATATGTATGTACTACATATTCGCACCTGTTATTTAATGCAATTGCTTGGAGATTCCGACGCTTTAGACTCGAGCTTGATGGCGATTGGTATCCTGACTGATCTGACCGGATCAGCAAATGCACTAAAGTTGATCATGTGCTATGGCTGCGCTGGTAGTAAACAAGGATAGGCGAACTCCTTTAATGCCTCATTCTTAGACGAGCTGGAGTCACTTAAGGCCTTTAAAATGGTTGCACTTGCATCTGTCTGTAATTCCAGAAACCTGTGGATGGGTAGCTACATTCTGTCGATCGTCATAGCGGCACTAAACGTCTGATTTAGGCTATTTTCTTATACGTTTTAGGTGTTGCTCGCCCGGATCATTTACTCCCGCTCGACCTTGTTTAAGTCTTACGCTCACATCTCTCGGTTTAGCGATGAAGTTCGTATCATGAATAAATTTGTGTTGATTTGATCTACTATATGCTTAATAAATACATCAGTAACCATCGAAGTTGCGGCTCAAATACAATAAAACCCAGATGCTGGTATGACCATTGACGGTCCGACGGAAATGTTCAGGGAACAATCACTGAACGAACATGAGAAGCTCGAGTTAAAATCTCCTGCAGAGCACCCTTCACATTGTCCATGTTCCTCATATCAACTTCTTTGACCTCCTTCGGTCCCTCTAGGAGCCCACTATCAATTTTCTTCGCAAGGTCATCCAGTACCTCCTTGACCTCCAACGGGCCCAGAATACTCGACGACATACCCTTTAACGTAAGGGCCTTGGTATAGAACGTCCGCAGGTGCATGGGGAATAGCCCATCCTTTGCATGGACAGCCATGATCACGACACGGCCGGTGCCGTTCGGTGTCATCGTGAAAATTGCATCGTTGAATGGCTGGTCGTAACCAGCGCAGTCTAGTAAAACGTCAATTTTGTTGTGCAGTCCTGCTTTGGCGATGGCCTCGCGGATGGCGTTTTTAGAGGTTAGTTCGATGGGCGAGATGTACGATGGGGGAGTCACTTTGGCGAGCGACGTGTATGTGCCAAATACGCGTGCCCCGCGCTCCTTGCAGAGCTGGGCTGCTGCAGAGCCGATGCCACCTCGAGCACCTAGAGGATTGTGGTAAGGAAATGATAGAGGAAGTAAGTCGAGCGATGTACCAATGATAATAACATTGTCTCCCTCTTTGACATTTGCGAGTCTCTCAACTGTGATCCACGCGCATAACCAGGGCAAGGTCATGCTACCGGCCTTGGAGTGGTCGAGAGTTGCTGGCTTCCGGCTCAATGCAGCGATAGGAACAGTAACGTATCTACAGAGCTGTCCGTCTAGAAAACAAGAGACAAATGCATGCAAATCACGTACTGTGAAAATGTTCCATCCGAAGTGAAGCCCCTCTCGCTTCCTGTTCCCCATACCTCTGCTCCAACCCAATCCTGACTCGAGGCCCCGGACGCATCCAGCGCTTCGACGACCTCCCCGGAGAAATCTCTGCCAGGAATACGAGGGGTGGTCACAAATGGAAGCATGCCTATGACACCTGCAGCATCGGACTGATGACGGGTCAGAATTCTAGTGCGGTATGATATGGCCCAAGTTGTAGGCTTACCCCGTTGATACCGGCGGCTCTGACGCATACTAGAGCCTCTCCGGGACCTAGTATAGGTTTCTCGACGCTAACCAGAGACAGGTTATCGAGGGACCCAGTCTTCTCAAACTTGAGAGCTTGCATGGTGATTCGACGACTAGAAGCGTATATGTTGAACAAGAAATACCTAGTTAAACCAATACAGGCAACAAACTCACTGGAGACAATGACCAATATGCCTTGACTCGGAAGATACGGAAGAGTTGATAAGACGGGAGATGAGGCGGCTTGTTTGCCACCTAAGTTGATAAGTCATTGCAACGAAAACATCGCATCCGATGATGTAGGGACTCTTTGGTCGACGGCGGCAAGCTAAGGCCTGCTAAGGGTCACAGCTCTATATGGAGCAGAAACTAGCGTCGCGTTTCACACCGCTTTACCACATTGATGCCGTAATTAACCTTAGAACACCTTCGATGTAACGAACCACCTCATGAACCAGAAATTGGCTTGGTTCGGCTTTGCTGTCACTTATTGCCTGCCCCATGCTGCCTGGTTGGAACTTAGGATACCGAGCCGAAACGATAACGGGGAGCATGACAAAGTTGCACCATTGCAGTGTCGTGCACACAAGGAGATAAGTATGCTATCAATTTTGAACGAGACAAGGTTGCCTGCTTAATTACCGATCCAGGCGCTGAAGTGAAACCTTTGATGACTTCCAACTCCCGGGAAATTCGCGAGGATGGATCATAACTTGGTCATAGATAAGAGAACCTTTCGAAATCGAGAAGAATCGAACCTATACCAGTGAGTTCTAGACAGTTCGACAGGACAGGTTAGACTAGGTTAGACTGACAAGCGGCTCCAGTGATGCGGAATAAGGTGGTGACACGTAGACTCGCATAAATACATCATAACAAGAACCAGCCCCAGCTAACTCCAATGGATCATCGCTTTGATTAACGATTCGCATAGAATTCACGACCAATCCAGAAAAGGTTGGTCTTGAATTTTGAGGACATGACTTTACTATAGGGCGCAATCGAGCTTGCTTCTTGGTCTCCCCTCCAAGATGACAAGACCGGACAATTGTACCCTGGTACTACAAAAATAGGGTGTAAGCAGACTTCCCTTGAAGTACACAAGCGTTGGTAGTGCGGTCTTTTTTGACTAGACAAAAGCATGCATATGGTCACGCCATGCCATAAGAATGATCACGGAGGCGCGATTCATCACCTTCACCACCTTCACAGCTCTTCACTGGCTGTCATGAAAGCTGCATGGAGCTTCGTTGGGGATTAAATTGGATTAGATTGGCTTTAGCGTACTTGCCGCTTGGAAGGTGGAGTGGCACTCGTGCAGTGACTTCACGACGCAGCTAATTGAATTTGTTTCCAGTCTAACGGGTTAACGGATATACGCCGGATATATGCACCACGGCTGTGTAGATCCATCGATGGCGTTGTTACCGCCAACGTCGCTCGGTTATGTTTGCTGCAGTGGGACGAGCTCATCCTGTCATCCCAACTCACGATCTCGTGGGGATCTCAGAGAGCCTAATCATATTTTGCAATACCACGAAATGACAAATGTGCAAATGGAGTGCAAATGGAGCACACTGATATCCGAGTCCCGGGATCTTCCTCAAGAGCCGTGGCGACAGTGACCATATGGGCTGGCGAATTTCATGTTACTACGGGCTAGTCCTAACGCAACGTTACAAGCTCTTTCGCACCATATTTTGTGCGGTGTAAGCTGCAACGAAATATCTGACTTATCAGCTCAGCCACTTGGCTAGTGCATCATTCCGTAAACTCACTGCAGTGCTGCTGCATTGTCAATCCCGACTTCGAAGTATATAAGCTCGGACGTCCAAGGAGATCCGCACTCAATATCCTAGACACCTTCTCCTACACTCGTCCACTTTTAGAAATTAGATTCATCTCGCAATGGCACCTATCGCAGTCCCCCCCACCAATACTCTCCACGACGTCATCGCTCAAGCTGTCGCCCGGTATCCGTCGCACGAGCTCGGATTCATAACCTCCTCGGCACATGACTCCTCCATTCAGACGAAGACCTTCACCGTGTTCAACCAATATGTTCGCAACCTTGCACGCGCCATGCTAGAGTGGGGAAAGCCCACAGGTTCAGTAGTCGTCGTGTACCTGACGGAGCACGAAGACAACATGGCTGCTGTCTGGGCGTGTCTTCTGGCTGGCTATGTGCCCTGCTTGCAGCCCGCACTCAGCGCACAACAGGCGCACAAGGAGGGTCATGTTGCCCACATCAAGAACTTGTTTGGGTCTGCTACTTGGCTGACCAGCGAGCTTGGAGCTGAGCAGATCACGTCCATTTCTGGCCTGGATGTGCACCTACTCTCGGAATTAAAATCATCGGCGGAGCAATTTACGGTCGCAGCTGACTGGGTTGCATATGAGGCCAAGCCAGATGACGAAGCAATCCTGTTCCTGACCTCAGGGTCGACTGGGTTCTCGAAGGCAGTCGTGCACACTCACCGTACCATCCTGGCCGCATGCCGAGCCAAGGGTGACAGTTACGGTTTGACTTCTGAATCTCAAATCTTGAACTGTAAGTCGCACATCATATACATAAACTTGTTGAAATTAATGATGACATTCAGGGGTCGGATTCGACCACGTCGCGGGATCGTTGGAAATGCACATCACACCTATGCTATTCGGCGCTTCGCAGCTCCACGTGCATGCATCTGCTATCCTCGCAGATCCTCTCCGGTTGCTCCGTCTGATCGACGAAAAGGTATTTCCAGAATCCCATCATAACATAACGTATCTCATCATTCTATTTTAGTCGATTGAACTGGCTTTCGCCCCGAACTTCCTGTTCTCCAAGCTCACGCGTGATCTGGAGAAGAGAACCGACCTCTTCGGAAGCTTCAACCTGTCCTCAATCAAGCGATTCAACAGCGGAGGTGAAGCCGTCGTTTCCAAGACCGCGAAGGCGTTTGCTGCTACGATGAAACAGCTCAGTAGGAACCCCTCCGCAGTGTCGTTCACCATCTCTCCAGGATTTGGAATGACAGAAACTTGGTGAGGATTTTCAAAGCATATTGATATATCTCAGCTGATGGACCTTCGCAGTGCTGGATGTATCTACCACCCCGTGGATGTCCTCGCGACCGAGCCTGCTCACGAGTTCCTCGAACTCGGTCGTCCCATCAATGGTTGCGAGATGCGCATCGTTGACCCCGCGGATGGAGCCACTCTGCGCCCCGACGGGGAGAGCGGCGAGCTTCAGGTCCGGGGACCGATGGTCTTCGTACGGTACTACAACAATGCCGAGGCTACGTCCTCTAGCTTCGTGGAGGGCGGCTGGTACCGCACCGGCGATGTTGGCATCATCGAGAATGGTGTGATGCGCCTGAGCGGTCGTATCAAGGACACCGTCATCGTCCATGGTGTCTCATACGGTATCCCCGAGCTCGAGACACACCTCCAGACCGTTGAAGGGGTCACGCACTCGTTCCTCGGTGCAGCTCCGTACCGTGCTCCTGGCCAGGAGACGGAAGGATTCATCATTTTCTACTCGCCAACATTCGACCTCGAAGGAGCAGATGCCTCCACGAAGCTCTTTGCCACGCACAGGGCCCTACGTGATATATGTGTGAAGATGATCACCCTGCCCCCTCAAATCATCATTCCCATCCCTGTGAACCAGATGGAGAAGACGACTCTCGGGAAACTGTCTCGTGCGCGTCTGATCAGTCTCTTCAAGCAAGGTCAGCTTGCTCAGCACATCGCGCGGTCTGAGGAGCTTCTCAGCGAGGCTCGAGGCGCTACCTTCGTTGCCCCGTCGAGCGAGACGGAAAAGGCGCTTGCGAAAATATATGCAGGCATCTTCAATCTCGCGGAAAGCGAGATGTCTGCAAGCGACAACTTCTTCGAACTCGGTGGTACCTCCATTGATGTCATCAGGTGAATATGTCCGTCTCCACCGTTTAACGATCTTTATTAACACATATATTCTCCAGGCTCAAGCGCGAGGGAGAGGCACACTTCGACCTACCTGAGATCCCAACCATCCAGATCCTCAAGCACCCCGTTGTCTCGAGCCTGGCCAACTATGTGAACGCCTTGCTCTCCAAGGACAACCAGACCGAGGAGTACGACCCCATCGTTCCCCTCCAGCTGACCGGAAACAAGACACCGATCTTCTTCGTCCACCCCGGTGTCGGAGAGGTTCTCATCTTTGTGAACCTCGCGAAATACTTCCAAAATGAACGTCCGTTCTACGCGCTCCGTGCTCGTGGCTTCGAGCCCGGCCACCCCTTCTTCACCTCCATGGACGAGATGGTTTCATGCTATGCCGCAGCAGTCAAGAGGACTCAGGCGACGGGACCATACGCCATCGCAGGGTACAGTTATGGCGGTGTTGTCGCATTTGAAGTCGCCAAGAGGCTCGAGGCCATGGGTGACGAAGTCAAGTTCACCGGTCTCATCAACATTCCTCCTCATATCGCCGACCGCATGCACGAGATCGACTGGACAGGCGGCATGCTCAACTTGTCGTACTTCCTGGGTCTTGTGTCGAAGCACGACGCCAATGATCTTGCACCTGCTCTGAGGCCTATGACGAGGAAGGAGCAGCTCGAGGTGGTGTGGAAGTTGTCTCCCCCTGACCGTCTGGTCGAGCTGCAGTTGACTCCCGGGAAGCTCGACCACTGGGTTGACATTGCCGGGTCTCTGATTGAATGTGGAAAGGACTACAACCCATCAGGCTCAGTTTGTAAGTTCTTCATTTCCTGACTTCGGCACCTCTTGTTGACATGTCACCCCTCTCTTCAGCCGCAGTGGATGTTTTCTATGCTATCCCCCTTCGCGGCAGCAAGTCTGACTGGCTCAACAACCAGCTGAAGCCATGGTCTGGCTTCAGCCGCGGCGAGCCATCATATACTGATGTACCTGGGCAACACTACACGCTGATGGACTTTGACCACGTTCCGCAGTTCCAGAAGATCTTCCGCGGTCGTCTCGAGGCTCGCGGCCTGTAAAAAGTTGGAGCGGCATATTGTTATTTTACCTGTCTTTCGTGGATGATTTGCAAGTATCTATACTCGGAGCGCGCGTGTTTTATACTTACTTCTCTGGACTAATTGCGTCGACATGCATATACATGTACTTAGATTATTATTGTCTTATGACACAAGCACATTAGAATGGATTTCTTACATGTTCATGGTTCGGAGTGAAACTACGAACGTTGCGCTTGATCTGCATCCTTCAAGCCTCAGGCATCGGTGCCTTAGCACAGTTAACATCCCGCTACCTAAGTTCTGACGCGTTCATCAAATTCATCACTTCCCATATTGGGTCGCTTTGTTTGTTTCAGAAGGCGTTGCCAAACAAACTCTCTGGAGGAGGAGAAACCTTACATGCCAATCATTGCATGATCCACCACCACACGCTACCACAAGCCGCCCCCTCGAATAGCATAATTATCCGTTTTTTCGCCGAAATTTGACCCATTGGATGTTCTCAGGTTGTTTATGAATTACCGTGACTGTCCGACCTGCATAGACTTGGAGTCTTGGACGTTCTCAGGCTAGATACCAGATACTGACAGACCGATGATATATGAAGACTGGCTGAGAAAAACACTGATCCTTCCCTCAGGACTAAAAAGTTTTGGCGACGACTGGAAAGCTTTCATGAAGGTCGTGTCCTCAAATTTACTTGCCGTAACCAGTGCGATGACACGTACGATGACACGTCCTCCTTTGGTGCGCGTCTAATTAATTTGGGAGTAATAACTATTACTCTGGGTTAATTAGATGTGTTCTACATGCGGACTATGTAGGACGTTTGGAGCACTGGTCGTGCAAAGATTGGCCACGTCGAAACTCATGGTTATTGGTTGTAAGTTGTGACTTCTGTTTTTCATGTTGCTCGCTTTCACCCATTGGCTTAGAAGAGCCCGTACGTTGAGATATTTTGTTGACGTGGTTCTAATTAGCCTCGTGAAGTGAAATGCGTTATAGATACCCAAGGAAGAGGGTACTTCCGTCGAATGTTGTGTTTCTGGCTCAGAGTGGCATCTATAGATGCGATAACTAGTAGGGTGAACAGAATCACTAAGTGCCTGAGAAGATTTTATATGTTCATAAGACAGAGCTTAACCATCATTTTTAGCACTTTGGCATCTCTGTGCTTTGCGGATCGGATACGTCTTCAAACACCGGTAGGTGTCATGATGTCACCAATTGCAACCTTAGCGAGACGACTGATTTCTTGTTCATTCAGTGACTTATAGTCTCTAGTAGCTGCGCAGAGAAATCTGGTCAAGTATTGTTATAAATTCGCGAGGTCTGCTCGATTCAAGTTTGATCTATTGATCATTTATGCAACCGCTGTGGACCCCGTCGAGTGGTAAAGCCCATATATGCTTATGGGCATGACATGAGTGTTCTCACGAACGAAGGGGCAAGGGCTCCCCGTTACCCTTGAGAAGGCTTGCGATTATCCATGGAGAAATCATCCATCAAGCAGCAGATCTATGACAACCATCATTTCCGGAGCTCAAGTACCCTTGATCGTCCTCAGTACGGACGTCAGCAACTACTCCGGAGTCATGTTGCACCACCAATCAGACCCTCACCGACTCATACACGGAGTCCGTGATAAGCCTTACAGGCACATAAAACAATACTGGTGGATGAAAATCGGGGCCAAGGCGTCCTTAGAATAGGGCCCAGCCAATACGAACCGGGGGTATCAGTCACTGGGTTATGCGAACTGGGAATGCATTAATGAAGAGGCAGGAACAAGGGTCACGGTGTAGACAAGAATATAGGCTAGACTCGTACTTTGCTGACTTAGCGACGGGGGGCACCTGCTACGAATGGTGTAGTCCCCCCTAGCCAGACCATATCGAAGGAAAATAGTCGCCCATCATGCGAATAGCGGGAAGTGCATGGATCTTGTGTTTCAAAGGATGTTTCACAGCCGCCTACCCCTGTCTGTATAGAACAGAGCTGAAAAATGTGGTTGTTGTGCGGGGAATTCACCAGGTAATGGACCTTGCTAGAAGGCTATCCAGTTCTTACTAGGGCTTCTGTCTCGCATACAAGCATGTGTACCACGAACATACAGGAAAGTGTACGAGCGTCTAGGGGTTATGCTGTGCCGGGGGATTGTTGACACATATTGCAATCAGTGCAAGTCCGGAATCCCATATGAATTGGCAAGGGATAAACGGAGATCAAGTTGACGGAACATGACAAGTAACACGCACCACGCCATTGGCTGTAGAGAAGATGTCAACACCAACGAACCAACGATGACTTCTCTCGCAGAATGGGCTCGGCATCACATGGAGCGAAACAGCGAATAGGGCTTCGCTGATAACTAAGCTAGGTTCTGCTAGGTTGTATTATTTTCCATATCGCAATCAATGGAAGCTGTCATGCAATATTCAGAGACAGCATAGATAGCGGGCGAGCAATGACCCGAGCAACCGGAAGCGGTTCCTAAATGAAACTATGATCAAGTCTGTGGACTTTGTCCCACCAAACGAGCGGAGACTCCTGAGCGCTGAGCGCCAGGTACGCATGCAGACATGATGTCAGGTTTCGGAAATGAAATTGTAAGCAGTCCCCGTGGCGTTTGGGCGCAGATCTACTGTGATCCAGAGTCCCAAAGGCATGGTCTTCGAGGAGTGACCATAATCTGCTATAATTAACGTGCGCTGTGCGGTCAGAAATTCCAAAAAATGAAATACATAGTACTCTCCATGGAGTTTGAGCGTAGGCATACCGTTATCTTGTCATCCTAGCAGGCATATTAATATTACACGCCGGCTATTGTTAGATGGGCAATGGATGCATACTCACCAGATATTGCCTGCTGCCTCTTTTATAAATACTCTAGTAAGGTCCTAAGAACTCTTCAAAGTATCGTAGTACATGCGCTGATACATTTGAAAACGAACTATTTGAAATTTGTACCGTGACAACACAACCTGCATGGTACTCAGGCTAGTGCTGTCAAGAAAACTATGTCAGTACTAGTGTGAACTTAAGTCGTATCACATACCTTGCTACGGCCGGGACTAATGAGCGATACTTGAAATCGAATGTGGACGTCCCAAAGTGCATACAACCGGAATATATAGATGATTCGAACCAGTTCGCGCTCACGCTCGCCATCCAAAACCCACATCATTCATGTACTTCCTGTCAATCAGTACCTTCCCGCTGCGCTATTGCTTACCCCGAATCGGGACCCACCCCAGAGCCCAAGTCGGTAATCGCATAAACAGCGAATGCAGGTCAACCCTTAATGAGCGGACGGGCATCGAAAGCTTGAACAGAACATCAATCAACAATCCTTTCACCACCCTGAAGCGGGAGGCTCAGACGCACATGTTGTAACGACACCGTGACTCAATCGTCATATTGACATGGAATACCCGCGAAATTTGTGGCTAAACTAGCATGCTGAACATGTATCGTTAGCATGTGGATACGCGCGTCGTACATACACGCACCAAATACGAGAATTCACAGCAATTCAGTTGAAGCACAGACGATCAGCGGTAGCGTTGAGCTAAGCGGGTATTTGCGAACTCCACCCAGGGCGGACTCAACCGGTATTTTTCATTGGACGAAATATTCAAGTTTATGTAAGCTCAGACCATTCAGCTTCAAACTTCATTCTCATGCATGTGCAACCGACGAGTTCGACGATTGATGTTCGTAGTGAGCGCTGAGGTTGTACTGAAACTTCTGTAGAGAGGTACCGTACTCACATTAACGTGCGCAGACAGTTTAAAACAGGGAGCGGATAGTACCTTGACATCCGCGGATTATAGTTGTTATAGACAAAGTTTTACTACTACACGCTCAGGATCGGCAGACGTTTCAGTGCTCATTGTATCCTTTATACAGTTTTACCGGACCCGAAGCATGAAGTTCTTCCTCTCACTGATCACTGCGAGGTGTCTCGTATTTGGTTTCTGGTTCAATCTATCTCTTGGCAAACCGACACACCGTCAATCTCTATTTACGATCCCGTCTCGTAAATTCTCGAACAGGAATCGACTGTGGATCCCTGCTCTTAGCAAGTTCTTCGTATGCATGCTCTCATTCCGCAATTCGAGTGTGGTCTCGGCATGCCCAGAGGGTGTACCCTCCGCACTGCCCTTGGCTTGTTCGCTATCATCTTAATTCTTACACGCTGCAGTCCCCCCATCAACGGAGCCCTGGCCCCTATAATATGTCATTTGAACATCCTCAATCTTCACGCGCTTTGTGTTCCACACGGAAAATCGATAATCAATTGATCCGATCAGTCGCGCAATAATGTCACACTTCAGGATCCCCAACTCTAGCGAGACGACAGTCGAGAGCTTTACCATTTTGAAGCTGCGCTCCGCCGCCTGTTCTTGAAACCCGCACAGAGCCCTTTCGGACATTGTTATCCGGTTTATCGGCCACATTGAGGTAGAGTAGGATTTGTGGAGTGACTTCACGACGACGCTAAACTAATTCGACTCAAACTTATCAGGTAAGAAGAGAAATCCTTGGCTATGTCTGAGCGTGGACATTTCCAGTTGTCTTCGTAGTGGGACAGGAGCGGGCGCTGCATTGATCATACGTCACGGGTCATCCTTAACCTACGCGATGGGGCAACGGTAAAGCCAATGCTCACAAATCAGCATTTGCAATGCCTAGCATGACACGCTAACGAATCGACGCTTGGAGCCCATCCGATATCCGCTCAGAGTCACGCTAGTGACCGGATGGGCTAGTACACAAGTTTGGACTTCACTAGTGCGAGGTCTATGGAATAGCCCCCGTGCTAACGTATTGTAGGTATGTGTTTCACACTATTAGTCTTTTTGATTACCTGCAGTACCAGTGATCCCGTGCGGTGTATGCTGCGACGAGATGAGCGACCTATCACCGCCACTATCTAGTACAAGATTTCGTAATCCCAGTGCAGTGCTGGTGCATGATGAATCCCGTCTTTTTGAAGTATATAAGCTCGGACGTCCAAGGAGATCCATACTCAATATCCTAGACACCTTTTCCTACACTCGTCCACTTTTAGACTTTAGACATTTCGCAATGGCACCTATCGCAGTCCCCCCCACCAATACTCTCCACGACGTCATCGCTCAAGCTGTCGCCCGGTATCCGTCGCACGAGCTCGGATTCATAACCTCCTCGGCACATG